CCCGAAAATAAAAGTTCATTTTAATTACACAGGGTGACAGAGCAACGAATTCTCTACAAAATGAGATGTCTCCGAGCTCTCCATGACAATTTTTTACTGAACTGCATCGGTTTTAAGAAACACTCAAAAATGGTATTTTCACCATTTCCTATGGGAAAATCGGACAAAAAGCACTTTAGGGTGTTCCTTAAAACTGATGCAGTTCAGTAAAAAATGGTCATGGAGAGCTCGGAGACATCTCATTTTGTAGAGAATTCGTTGCTCTATCATCCTGTGTAATCAAAACAAACTTTTATTTTCGGGGTCTGGGTGCTGAAAAAATAGGTTTTCGGTTTTCCAGAGATCCTAGTTTTGGGGAATAAGATGAGAATTTCATCTTTCTGGGACCTTTGTTGGAAACAATTTTCTCTATCCAATCACTATTTGGATTCTTCATAGGAGTTACCATTAGGGAAAAAAAATCGAAATTACACCTGTATGAATAATTTTTGGAGCCACTGTATATATATAATGAACTAAACTAACTTGAAGAACAATACTAGGCAATGGTGTTAATCTATCTTTTTGAATATACGAAAAAATCTGCGGTAAATATCCATATTGAGCACCAACCATACAATAACGTGCACTTGAAAATAATGATCCATTGGCACTTCCCAATGCACTTATTCCTATGAGAATAGGTAAAGCATGTGCTGCAATTCGACCTAATACAAGTTCACCCCATGTCTATTAAACAAAGATGAATCAAACGTTTGAATACATAATCGACTTTTGTTACATACTACAGCAACAGCATTTGAACTAAGCAATACTGCTTTATTCATTACAGTAAAATAAGAAATGTTTGTAAGAAAATAAAGAACAATAACAGATGGTAATGCTAATACAATAGATAACCATAGATTTCTATTGCACAAAAATAAAATATATAACTATAAATCATCGATGATTTACCTTTGTGGATTTTTCAATTCTTCAGTCACAGAATTTAAAGAATTCCATCCATCATATGCCCATAAACCAGCATAAAAAGCAAGTGCTACACTTAATGGTTTTCTTGTTGTACCTATTCATGATCAAAACAATGTATTCTTATCTTTACATAACCATTTTACTCTACCATCAAAACCATTTTGTAAATATTGTGTATGTCCTAGAATGAATTCTTGTTGTTTTTTTTCTTTTTATCTTATATGAACAAAACAAACCTTGTGCAATTCTTACAATACCAACTATAATAACTGTCATAACAGTGACTACTTTACAAATCACAAAGATAATATTCAATCGATTAGCTGCAGATACACTAATACAATTAATATTCATAAGTACGACTTTAAATAGATTAAATATTATTTATAGGAAAAAAAAGACAAAAAAAAAATAAAATAAAATCAACATACGAAGTGTAAAGACAGATGTAATTTTAATAAGTTCTTCTGGTGGACCACACTCTAAAGATATAGAACGTATAAGAAACTTATTGTAGAAACAAGAAAAAGCAAATTTACCATCCATAATACCAGATAAAAAGTATTCAGCAAAAGACATTGTAAGAACAGCTGCACTTGCTGGTTTGAGAATAAGTGTATTTGTCCAATTGAATAGATATGCTAATATGTCACCAGTTCGCTCATGAACAGAACCAATACCTTCTTTCATATAAGCAAGTTCTGCTCCACTTCTCGGTATTATTGTACCAATTTCTGCGAAACAAAGTGCACCTAAAACAAAAAAGAAAGAAATATAAATATCTATCGATTCTTTTAAATAAACTAACCTAGTAGAGCAACAATTCCACTTACTACCCAAATTGTTAAACATAAACCAACTGACTCAGTATATTTCAAAACACTTTTAGGTGAAACAAATATACCAGAACCTAAATCGAAAAAATAAACAATTAATCATAATAAATTTTAAGAAAAGAAGGGTTTTAATGGAAATAATTTATTTACCAATAATAATACCAACAATAAAACAGATTCCGGACCATAAATTAAGATGTCGTTTAAGAGCTATTTCATCAGTATATGCAATGGTTGAAATGGAATCTGATGGTAGATTTGATTTATGTGATGCTTGGCGCTGACGAACAGAATCAATTTCAGCTAAAATAAATAAAAACGATGAAATCTATAAGATTAGATTTACTTTTGTAATCATTTGATAATAAGGAATGGTCCACATGCACTTCTATTTCCAGTAAATAACTATGAACAGTTTTCTTTACATAGACGGACCCGAAAAATGAGAATTTCAAGTGTTTTGGGAAATTTTTTTTTCGAAACAAAAAAAATTCCTATTTAACTCTGTAGAATAAATGCAGAGACAATATTTCTAAGGCCCAGTAAAATGAAAAAAAAAACAATAAATAAATTAAAATATTCGCAGAACCATAAGAATAAATCGTCCTTTCAATAAACATGAAAATGGGATTTTTTTCAAAATTTTTAGAAACATTTTATTAGTAAAAAATTGAGAAGCGACATGTTCCAGCTAATCATAAAAAAAGTTTTTTTTTGTTATTAAAATTTCAGCATTTCATCGCCATAAATTTTTATTTAATCTTTTCAATTTCAACAAAACTTACGATTAGATACTTGATATGATTTGTTTGTAACCATTCTAAAAATATCTTGATATAATCAAAATTCTTATTTTATTCATCAAATACAAAAACAATGTGTGAACATATATTGAAGCAAAGAACAAATAGCTGGTGTATTTTTCAACCGAAAACAAAAACGATCACTAGTTAATATGAGGCATATCAATAGTTAGGTTTTTTTGTTTTTCTTTATAGAAAAAGAATCTAGTTCAAATATCAACTATCTTATGAATTGTTCATTTTATGAATTTAATGAATGAATTCGAAATTTTTAAAAAACACGAATCATTGCCATACGATCTTTACCGACACCAATCCATTTCACTATTAAGAAAAAAAAAAAATAAATAAATGTTTTAAAGTAATAAAAATTAGTTAACAAACCAGGTACACCAAGATATTGTTCAATAAATTGAATATAAAGACGTGCATTATGTGGAAGTGAATTAAATGTTCGACAGTCCGATGTTGAACGTCCACGCCAACCAGGAAATGTTACATATTCAACTTCAATATCATGCATTGTATCAACAGAAGCTATTTAACAAAAAAAAGAAAAGAACTTCTATTTCATTGGCATCTTTCTTTTTCAAACCCGGAAAACTTGGTAATTCAACTCCATTTCGTTTATATGTTGTGGCTACTTTAATTTCACCTAATTCATCAAGTGTATCAAGTTTTGTTAAACATAAAGCTGTAAAACCATTTATCATTGTTGTATATCGAAGTAAAACAAGATCAAGCCAACCACAACGACGTTTTCGACCTGTTGTTACACCCCATTCACGACCACGTGTTTGTAAATGTTCACCAATTTCCTATATAAAATTTTGATATAAACAAGATTCGGTAAAAACAAAAAAAAAAAAAAAATTTTTTTTTATCAATTACATTTTTAAGTTCTGTTGGAAAAACACCATCACCAACACGTGTTGTATAAGCTTTTACAACACCATATATATCACCAATATATTTTGGTGCAAGACCAAGACCTGTACAAACACCACCGATACTACAATTCGATGATGTTACATATGGATATGTACCTAGAAAAGAAAATTTTAATATTTATATGTTTTCTATCGATATTTAGAGCCATAATTTATTAGAGATTGTGTGTAAAGTAAAGATGTATGGGATCGAGATTTGAATATTTGCAAGGACCATCGAAAAGAGAAATTGTTTCAACAGAAACTCGACATTATAGTTAAATATTCTGTCGTTTTCAGCGAATTATCTTATCTATCAAAAAACAATTTCAGAGAGATGATTCAAAAAAGGAAAGACTACTATTCGCACTCTCAAGAAAAGAATTGTCAAGGTGCCTGTCACGATCTGTGAAAAAAAAAGGGAAGATTCAATAGAGACTATAAGCTTCACGATGATTTTTGACACCAGTATGAGCAGTGTGTAGATTATTAGAGAAAGTCTTTTTCTACAAGTCTGCATATATTCCGCTCATAGATCAATACCTTATAATCACTTTTCTACTTCAATACTCTTTTTGAATCATATTTCACAAAAAAAAGAACGAATAGTGAAGAATTGTTTCAGATGTGAAACGAATATATTCTGAAATGCTTTTTTCTAGATCGGGATCAGATTAGATTTATTTAGACTATTCAAGGAAGGTATACTCATACTATTGTCGACAGTGTTTTATCCAGTGGGGGGCATGGGACATTTTGCCCCCCCCCCCCGCGAGGCCGGCGTTTGACCCCCGAGACAACCTACCCCTACAAGAAAAACAAACAAGAAAGTGTTCCT